CTCGTAAATAGGAGATGAAATATCCACATCTTTCGTAAGCGATGTGATCGCTTGGAACGGGAGGGCCCCTCAAGGTCCGGACTTGCGGTAGAGAATCTGGAAGGAAGACCATGCCTGAAGATAGTGAAGTTGCATTTCAACTCATTCGACAAAAAAGTCTAATAGAAGACCTTTTAGTGTAGCCCACCACTGAACGATTCGCTCATCTCTCTCCTCCCTGAATGTGTCGCTTTAGTTCAAGCTCGTCCCTTTTACGGTTCCATGCATGTGCAAGATGGGAAGCACAGCCTTCCACTCTTGCCCTTGAGGAGCTCTTCCGGGCAGCGTTTATAGCAGCCTTTTCAAAATCTATGACTACCCTTCTCGGAGCGTCCCAACAATATGCCTTCACAGTTCCTTGAAAACCTTCACGTACACCATCTCCGTCTTCTCGGCTGTTGCACTGCAGCACCGGAACTTCCACGCCTTTTTCGCACGCGTTATGCACACAGTAAAGCTGTGCGTGGTAACCGAGCGATTTTGGATGCAGCGAGTGCATCCCATCAGCGACGATGCTATGGAGCTGATTATCACAAGCCCTCTGCATGTGGAGAAAGTTATCATACTTGAAACATTGTGCGAATGTTGATGTTTACCTGTATGGTCGCAACAGAATAGTAAAGATGAAAACCAGGCTCATGGTGATTCAGGAAGACGGAACCATCGCGGAGGATTCGGTATTCCGGAGGTATATATTCCATAGTTACTAATCTGTTTGTCCATACTGCACTCCCAAAGAGGCGAGATTGACCTCATCGATAAGGAAAACTGTGCTTTTTCGGACCTGCATATGTTTCGCACCCGAACCTGGTATCCCGAGTTACGTACAGCCGCTCTGATGCCATCCTCCAAGCCTTCTAATGATGATGATAAATGTTCCAAATAATGGAAAATAAGGCAGTATGGAGGTCCTACCATTGTCCGCCTCAATCGGTTCCGGCCACCATATCTAGATAAATTTGAGCAGGCTTCTTTTCAGCGTATATTGGATCGCTCCTAACTGACTGCAGTTCCTGAGAAACGGTTAAATTTGATCCTTTCGCCAGCTGCTATACTGCGACCAACCTTATGGAAATGCCTGCTGCCTCTCTCATTCGTATATTTCGCCGGGTTGCATTCAGGGCTTAACCTGCACGGGTCTGTTAAAAATCTGTTTCCAATCACCTGAACAGAGAATGTGAAGTGAGGGCGAAAACGCGCGTCTATTTCGCCTACCGTCGATATTCTCTCCTGTGTCGCGCTCTCCTCTCCTCTTGCGGCAATAGTGACAGCTGTATACATCGTAATGCTTGGTAGCGAATTTGAAAAAGAAGGTGAAAGAATGCCTCGTGCCTGGAATCCTATAAATTAGCACATCATGTTTACCGAATTTGCTTACCTGCTTTTCACCAGTAAATGTCTCTGTTTCTCTTGGTTGTGGTAGTGCGTAGATGAAAGCGGAACAGATGACGTTCCTGGGCTGGGAGCTGAGCTGCAACCAATGTCTAGTGAAGCCTAATGCAGGACATCATCTAGTGAAGCCTAATGCAGATCATCAGGGAATGTGGGTAAAGCTGAATTGTAACCTGCAAAAATCTGTGAAGTGGTGAAGTAGTACGATGGTGGTGTGAAGGATTGGGGAAAAAGTTGGGGCAAAGCGCCTATGTATAATGATGGATCATGCGGAGACATGGTGGACTGGGGGCCTTGAAGAACCGCGGAGTTCATCCAATATGTAGGTGCATGTTCCTGGTGGCTAGTGCTAGAGGAAAGCTGAGGGAGGGAGGGACACGTGTAGAAGGATGATGAGAGCTGCTGAAGATCGTCGCAGAGGAATTCGTGATTCATGCTGTGCTCAAGTGAGTGCATAAAGCAGTGCTGCTGGTTGTTGTCAAGTAGCGCCCTTAAATACTTCTTAACGATGACCTTTTTATCAGGTGTTAGGATAAGGAAGACATCTAGGATAATCAAAAGCGCTGACGGTCACATTCAACGAATTGACCCGCTTGAAGGCGGTAATCTCTTTATATATATCGTCTATAAACGCAAATAGAAGCTTTCCTATTCGAGTTGAAGGAAAGGTCTCCACAATGTTTTTTAACTTTTTAATCATCGGTTTGGAACTTAATATTCATTCAGTCTTCACAGTTCTTCCGTATTCATATTTTTCGAGTTGTGTTATAGCATGTTATAGGTGATTGAACAGCGTAATCGATGAGAGGTCAGAAGGCAGCGAGCCAGCAATTAAGTGGGGTCACACCGCAGGCGACTCTGCCATTATGAGAGGAGAGGTGCGAAAAAAGTGCATTGCACAAACGTCACACACCCCCTAAGGATGCTCACCCTGCCATCTAAGTGTTCCTTGACGCGAAGCATAGAGGCCTTCCCTTCTCCCTCCATATGTTCCTCCCTGCACTGCTGTCACAATATTATATACAACGCACATGATGACATGCAGTCGCCCTTCTATATGGACATATGACACAGGAAGGCGTAATGACACAGGAAGGCGTGCAGAGACGCTCATAAAGGCGATCCCAGAACAATTCCCCTTTTAGGTTTGTGGGTGGAATATCCACTACCGTCGCCACATCTTGCAGACTGGCTCTTCTTGCACAAGCACGAATAGTCGCGCTGAATTTCGTCTGATATAAGCGGGATACAGAACTGAACTTTTGTTTGTTCCTCTTTGAGGCGAATCAGCGCGAACTCTCTTCGTTCTCGTCTGGCAGGGTTCCTGATGTATTATAGCCATTCTTCCAGGATGTGCGAAGCGCCCATCTTACCGATTCGGCCTTATAATCGCTTCAAGATGAAACTCTGAGAACGTGGGCAACATGTTTCTAACGATGGCTTTCTTAGCCGCGGATCGCTGGGACATTTGCAGTGGACATGTATGCTCCTGCTGGTTGGCTTGCGATAGCATCTCGTTGTAAGTAATCGCAGCTATCTGAAATGAGGACAATGAGGAAAGCGAACCAACTGTCTGTCGGTTTTTCTCGCGTGAGCTTTATATGCTGCGACTGCTCATTTAGCAGAGCAAAACATGTGTCCATCTCAGTTTGAGTGGAGCACACGATAAAGCAATCATCTATATACCGACAGTACAAAGTTGGTCTGCGCTCTAAAACAGGTCGCTCTATTCTTTACATAAATGCTACTGCGAGCACCGAGGCGAGCCTCTGCCTCAGCCCTCTTATCTGCTTGTAATACTCCGCTGACCATCGGAATATGTGGCACATCAGACACTCACTGATAAGTTTCTTGGCTGCATTATTGAAAAAAAAGAACTCAACAGATCCCTGACGCTCGTTCCGGATCTCAGAAAACTTGCATAGTGGAGTCGTTAGACATTTGTACACAGCGAGTTGGCTTCGAAGGACTCCATTACGTTCTCTCCTTCCAGCCTGGTTTCTCGAAGTATGATGAGAAAGGCGTACGTGTTAGGAAGGTGTGCGGGGATATATTCGGAAAGCTCCACGAGCATTAAGCTCGAAAACCAAATGCTGGACCCGTGGTACCCACGACATTGCTTACGGTAGGACTGATTTTGAACCGAGATGTCGTCCATGGATTAGCTTCCTGGGAAGGCATTTTATTGCGGTTCTAGTAGCACGTCAGAGAATCATAACAAATGGGTTTTCTTCAGCTCACTTCACTTCTTCAGCCAGCGCGATGATATTTCCAAGACAGACTGCTGTACAACGCCAACCGCAGTCTTGCATAGCCTATTCAGACGGCGGTATTGTTTGGTGGAATTCGGGTGTAGTAGGTTAATAAAGAGTCCTATCCTGGAAGATATGCTTATGTGATGGTTCTGCCTATTCTCTAGCTGACAAAGTGAAATCCCTCCCTCCCCTAGTCGCTCACGCTGACCTTTATAGCTCCAGTCTCCGTAAATGCTTTGAGTTCCCGCAAACACCTACTCTGAGCCGGAGCCAGTTTCTTGCTGTTTTCCTGAAGGCATGACGACGCAAAATTGCAAATAGATAGTCCGCGAAAGTGTGAAATTTCAAGTACACCTGTTGATCAGGCTACTATGACGCAAGATAATAGGGAGGAAAGGTGGAGGCAGCACACCAGAGCTGTTTGCTGCATTAATCCCGTAAACCATGTTTCGATTTTCGCCCTTTGTCAGTCGATCGTGTAATGATTGCAGGCTACTGACAAATTTGCGCGAAATAGGTGGACACAGAGGTCGGATCGGAGAAAAACTGGGCCCCATATCGAAAGTGATAATGCATCACGGAAAAAACTGATATTACCAATGACCGTGATCCTTGGGCCGCTCCTATCATTCACACATTCAAATGCAAGGTTTTACAACTAAAGGTCTCAAGGACCTTGCATACGTGGCCCATGACATCGCTGCTCATTTTGTCCTAAACTTCCCCTGCATTCACCTTAGCATTAGAAAGAATTGAATCGCAAATGTCCTTCGACTCACCCACAATTCTCCTCCAAAGGTGACTCGGCAACAGTCTTTCACAGCACGACTCTTTAGATACACATTTGTTCAATAACGAATACATGTGGTCCCGGTAGCTCCCCAGAGCAGCTCGATTGCACGTAGTCGTTGATGGTCCCATGGTGAGCCACACGTCTCGAACATCTTCTTTTGTTTTGTGAAGCTCGGAATAATACCTGACGTGAGCATCGGTGGAGGAAGTGGATGGCCTGTCTACACTGCACGACCTTCTGTCTTGACGTTTCGTTCCTATCGCCAGCTGTTGTTGTTCAGTGTCCAGGTTCGACTCTCGATGAATCTTGGCATACTTTGAAGTTCTCTATAGGGTATTGCTGTAGCCGTGACCAAGATGATATAACAGTTTTATTGGCTAACGTTTCGGCCTTATCGCCTTCGTCAGAGCCTGGAAAAAAGTCAAAAATCAAAGTGAAACTACCCTCGGAAATCATTTCAAACCTCAGATAAGCTAGTCCCAGACCAGAAGGATCCAGAAACCTGTCATAGGTCACAACCACAAAACGACTCACCTTGAATGTACGGCCGGTTTTGCTTGAGACCACCTGAACTGACTCCCCGTGGGTGGCTTCAGCTGACCTGGCCCCTCGACTCGAAGCCGATGGCAATTGAAGCCCACACAGGTCAGCAAACGGGGCGAGCTCG